TATATATATATATGGGGTGTGACGAGACACTTATTCCACGAGACACAAAATTGGATTCACGAAATGAGATTTTTAAAATGATTTTATGAAATACATAAATGGAAAATATTTTTTTAAACTGAAAAAAAAAAAAAAAAATTCACAAAATGAAAAAGTATTTATATGCTTTTTTAAATCAACTTGTAATGAATGTTATTTTACTTCTAATGTAATGAATTCTATGCAGTAAAGGACATGCAAATGCTGCAAAATATTTGCTAATATATGAATGGAAAATTTATTTTTATTCAACTGAAGAAAAATTACAAAATGTAAAACAATTAAGATGCTTTTATAAATCAACTTGTAATAAATGTTATTTATATATAATATAAAGTTTATATTATATATAATATAAAGTTATATTATATAAAGAACATGCAAACCCTGCTATATATTTAGCTGTAAACTGACTTCTCTGCTGTACAATTTCACATGAGAATCGAACTCCTTTCCACAAATTGAACTTTTAAAAAACATGTATGTAATCATGTCATTTGTGAGTTTTAATTTTTCAAGTTTCACTTTCATTCAGCAACTGCTTCTGTTTTTTTCTGGACAGCATAAACATAATTCACAGATTTCACGATCAGAATCATGAATATTTTTTTAATACAAGACAACACTCTAAGTGGTTCTGTCACTGTGTTTAATCCTTTCTGTGCAAGACTGTATGGTATAGTTAATGCCACACACACTGTAGGCCTAATGTGTTTTATTTTGGTAGTTCATTTTGAAATAAAAATAGCAAAATATTAATTAAGAGTAACATTTTTTTTTGCTGGGGGAAACAGCTGTGCTGATGAGGTGAGCACAGAGCAAACAGTAAATAGGGAAAACCAGATTGCTCCTGAAATTGGGGTACAAGTGACACAAGTGTTTCTGTAGCAAAAAACTGCAAATAATCAGATTTTATAACAATTTATTGATAAGCATACAACTTGTTCTCACGCTTTGCACGGCTGTGGTTTGCTGATTAAATGAAAGATAAAAAAGACTTGTCTTTTTTTCTCAATTAATAATAGTTTCCAACAAAGCCATATAACATTTACACTAATACATTTACTACAGAAACACCCTGAGACCTGAGATTATGATCAAACTGATTGTTTTTCTATTTTTTTAATCAAACTTACAAACTTCAGACTCTCTGATCTCTGCTGGTGCGGGTGCTGCTGCTGGATCTCTGTTGATTGTAGCTGCAGTTGGGATGATTTGGTTCTACAGGAAAAACAAAAGAACCAACCAATCAGGTAAGTCATTTCTACTGCTGATACGTCAGTATAAATGGTTATAGTTTTGTTTTTGTTAAAATACATCTGTCATAATTTTTCAAACAGTCCAGACCCATAATGAGGAGGTAACTTATGCTGATCCAACGTTCTACAAGCGAAGTAAATCAAAAGGGGTGAGACTTATATTTTTATATGATTTATATTTTGATTTTACACTGTACAAACTGATCATACACAGTCTAGCTGAGGGAGATTACATTATAACTTGGGGCTGCTGAATGCTTGATTCTGATTGGCTGATGAACATTCTAAGGTGTGCAGTTAGGCCGTACTCACACTAGGTACAGTTGCCTCGAACCTGGCCAAAGCACGCTTGTCCCCCCTCCCGTCTCCCCCGACGGCCCGCGCTCACACCATATCGGGCCTCGGCACGCTTATGTCATCGCTGCTGCTCTCTTCAGTGAGAAGCACTCTCTATGGCAAGCCTTTTTAGCATTTAAATCTTTGTTCTGACTCCATAAATATATTTAGAGATATCTCTAATTATATTTTGACTAGTCATAATTATAATTCCACTACTCAGAATGACAATTAGAGATATCTGCAATTACAATTGTACTAGTACGAAATCAGATTGGAGATATCTGCAAATATATTATGACTAGTAATTTTCCTCCATTGACTTCCATTGAAAAATATTTGCAGATATCTCTAAATGAGTTTTGATTAGTCACAATTGTAATTAGAGATATCTCCAAATGAATTTTGACTAGTTACAATTGTAATTAGAGATATCTCTGAGTTTTTACTAGTCATAATACATTTGGAGATGTCAATTCGTCATATTTAGAGATATTTACAAATATATTTGAAGATATCTCTAATTAATTTACTAATAGTCGAATTACAGTTGTAGATATCTTGAATTGGATTTTTGACTAGTCAAAATTCATTTGGAGATATCTCTAATTACAATTGTGACTATTGTCAAAACATATTTAGAGATATCTGCAAATATTTTTCAATGGAAGTTAATGGAGGAATATGACTAGTCATAATATATTTGCAGATATCTCCAATCTGACTAGTCAAAATATAATTAGAGATATCTAAGGTTTAAATGCTAAAACGGCTTGCCATACGCTCTCACCCAGTAGCACAGTGGAGATTTCTCTACTTATATCGTTTCAGTCGTTTGTTATGCAGTGACATGCAGTCAAAAATTTCACCAAACAGTCCTTAGGAATGCGGTGACACGCAGACAGATATTTCACCGGACAGATCCACCACTTTTGGCGCTCATAAACAATCATAAAGCCCTCGTGCTGCAGGAATAAGGAGGTTTGCTGAAGGCGCGCAGCTGACGTGCAGTGAGGGGTTTGCGTCTTTAATAAACTACGGCAGTTTGCGTTCACTGAACAGTAAGAATGATTAATAAATCCATATGAAACAACCCCTCAAAAATCACGTATCGCTTTCAGTTTCGGGCTTTGGCGCGTTTTGCACTCACACACAAGCGTACCGTGCCAAAGCCCAAGTGATCCGCGCTCAGGCACACCTCTTCCAACCGGGCCAGGGCCGGCCAAGTGAACTGTGCTTGAGCCCGATTCAGCGCACTCACACTTCTCAAACGATCCGGGAAACGGGCCTGGGCACGGTACGGATGGCATAGTGTGAGTAGGCCCTTATTCTGAGGTAAATGCAAAGCTATCGTAGTTCTGGCAGGTTTTGAGCGCATTATAGTTGCATATCATTACGTTGAATGATTTTACATATTTGACTGAGACAACTGTCAAGAATCACAACAGAAGGCTTTTGGTGAGATGTGTAAGTCCTACACACATAAGCAGTTTGAGGACAAAAAAAACTGCCAAATGTCTGAAATACACCATTTAAGTAGTGGCTTGAGCTGTGGGAACTGTAGGCAAGGCAAGGCAAGGCAAACTTTATTTAAGTGAAAAAAAGGATTTTAAAATCAACTCTGAATTTTATAAGAAGCCAGTGCAATGAGGCAAGAACATGGGAGATATGATCTCTTTTCTTAGTTCCTGTTATTGATCTGGTGGCTGCATTCTGGACCAACTGTAGTTGAGAAAGAGTTGGCTGACGTAGAACAATCTACAAAGAGTTGCAGTTGTCTAACCGAGAGATGTTACAATGCGTTAGCATGTGTTAAAATTTCTAAATCTTTTTTTTTTAGAAGAAACAGTTTAACTTTTGCCAGCGATCTAAGCTGGAAAAAAGCTGCTCTTCACAACTGCATTTACATGTTTGTCAAACTGCAAGAGTGGATCAAAGATAACTCCGAGATTCTTGCCGTGATTGTGCAGATTGTCATTTAGGAATCCTAGCTGAGTTTTAATTGAATCGTTGGTAGCAGCAGCACCTAATAAGATCACAGTTTTATTTTCAATTAGCTGTTATTGGTTATCCAGGTCTTAATGTCGGTTAGGCATAAGAAAAGCTGTTTTAATGATAATTATTTGCCTAGTTTGATTGGAAAATATAGCTGAAGATCATTAAGCAAAGCAGTGGTAGTTTATATATGTTTGTGTAGTATTGAGCTATAAGCAGAATAATTGACTCCAGTCTGTTGAGTTATTAAACAATAATGCACACTGAGGTGTAACGACCAATCTACTTTGCATCATCATGACATCGGGTGTGTAATATATTTTTTTATTATAAATTAATATTTAAATAATATTTAAGTTATTCCTTAAATAATGTTTTTTTTTTTTTTATTTAGTTTTTTGCTCCTCGTGTTGCTACTATGCTTCAAATAAATATGTGAAAAGATTTATTAAATACAGAAACCATGTTTCGAACCTTTTTGAGCTGCTTTACTAAAGCGGAACTTAACCTTATACAGCAAGGCAAGATCTTAAAAACTGCATATCTAACATTTAACTATAGCTGCATCTCAACAGCTAGATGACAATTTGAGACTAGTTCACTTTATTTATTAATTATAAAACAGTGCAGAAAATAAATAAGCTTGACTTGATGGTTAGATGTCCACCATAAGCAGAGAGAAAGAGCTGATTAGATCTTCACACTTCTCTCGGAAATAACTGTAAATATAGTACATGTGTGAGGGCTTCTGGTAAAATAAACAGCTACATTTGCAGTTTAAAGTGTGAGTTCCTCATAATGCTGAATGCTAAAGATAGTTCTGCATATTTGAAAGCGAGAAAACATTTCAGCATTTTAAATTATGCCTTTAAAATTTTATTTATGCTTTTGAATTGCATTGCGGAACCTTGATTTTTATTGATATTGTAAATTATGGTACAAAAATCTGCCAGTATTTTTATTTTATTTTTTTATTTTAGAGACTTAGTCCACAAAGCAGACAGAGCAGAGATCAGGAATAGAGAATAATGCAATGCATATCCAGAAATAAACAGAAAGTAACTGTGAATCACAAAATAATAATTAGCATTTTTTTTTTTACATTGTACATTGTTTTCCTTTTATAAAATGATAAATATCTAAAACATATAAAACTATGAGTTTCTCTTAATGACCAAGCTCATTCTCTATGATAGATCCATTGACAATCCCCGATCATTATTGTTCATCTGCCTTTTTTTACTATATGCAAAGTGTAAAGCAGTGTTGTAGCACTCAAAAGACTCCAAAGACTATATTTTCTATGACTAGTCAAGACCATTAATTCAAGTCTAGCCCTTATTAGACACTGGTATCAAATACTTTAGCAATGTATAAAGATATAATAATAGGCATATTCTAAGCACTGCTTCTAGAGTGACAAAAGCAAATGTGTTTAATTTTTTAATCCTTTTTAAAATTACTATTTAATTTACAAATGTTATTGTTTTATTTGTATACATACATTGTTTTACTATACTGTTTTATTATTACTTCACTATATACTATTAGCAAAAAAAAAGCAAAATATTTTTTTGACCTTGGCCAGATCTGTGCCTTGCCACAATTCGGTCTCTGAGCTCTTCAGGCTGTTCCTTAAAACTCATGATTCCCATTTGCTCTCACATGCATAGTAAACTGTATGATAGACAGGTGCATGGCTTTCCTAATCAACTCCAAGCAGTATTAAAAAACACAGCTGGACTCAAATGAAGGTGTAGAACCATCTCATGGATGATCAGAAAGAATAGACAGCACTAAATAGGAGTTAAAAATATGACTATCACAGCACAGGGTCTGAATAATTAGGACCATGTGATATTTCAGTTTTTCTAATTAAGTAAATCTGTAAAAATGTCAACAATTCTGTGTTTTTCCTGTAAATATGGGATGCTGTGTGTACATTAATGAGGAAAAATGAACCTAAATTATTTTATCTTAGGTTGCAATATAGAATAGAAACATCTAAGGGGGTCCTGCCTTCACATAGGTTTCCTCCTGGTGCTCCGGTTTCCCCCACAGTCCAAAGACATGCGGTACAGGTGAATTGGTAGGCTAAATTGTCCGTAGTGAATGTGTGTGGATGTTTCCCAGAGATGGGTTGCGGCTGGAAGGGCATTCGCTGCATAAAAACTTGCTGGATAAGTTGGCGGTTCATTCCGCAGTGGTGACCCCGGATAAATAAAGGGACAAAAAATGAATGAATAAATAAAATATATATATACATATATATATATATATATATATATACATACATACATACATATATACATACATACATATATATGTCGTCACCTTAGAATTATAAGGTTCTATATGACATTTTTGTCAAAATTTAGTTATTCACATATTCTTTTTAAATGGCAACTTATTTACATTATGGGATGTGTTTTTATACGTTGTTTACATTTTAAGGCTTTTTATTTAAAAAACAAAAAAGGTGTATCTACAAAGTTGAACTCTAGCTTTGCTCTATAAGGTTCTATCTGTGAGCCAATCAGCATTTTTAATGCATGCACGAGGACCCATCAGGATCAGCTTTTTTTGTCATTTCACTGGACTGCGCCATTGACAGTGGGAAACACCAGAAAGACAAAAATCACACAAAATCAGAGTCGACTAAATAATGCCACACCACACAAAATTGAGACGTGTGTAAATGTGATGATTTAGAAGCATTTCTTGACATTGAGATTCATTCATTCATTCATTTTCTTTTCGACTTAGTCCCTTTATTAATCTGGGGTTGCCACAGCGGAATGAACCGCCAACTTATCCAGCATATATGTTACACAGCGGATGCCCTTACAGCTGCAACCCAACACTGGGAAACAACCATACACACTCAATCACACACATACACTATGGCCAATTTTAGTTTATCCAATTCACCTGTACCGCTTGTCTTTGGACTTGTGGGGGAAACCAGAGCACCCAGAGGAAACCCACGCAAACACTGGGAGAACATGCAAACTCCACACAGAAATGCCAACTGACCCAGCCAAGGCTCGACTGTGAGACAATCGTGCTACCCACTGTGCCACTGCTACGCAAACGTTGAGATGAATTGCTCAATTTTACATTGTTGAAAAAGAAATGAATATTTAAAAATTTGTGAATTAAAAGTGAAATATTTTTCTTTTTGTATATATAGTCAGTGAAACACTTTTGAGTGTTTATTAAACTCATTTGCTCATTGTTTCTTTTAAAGTCTATAAGTTTAATATTAAGCCTTGAAGGGCAAATACTTAATTTATTTCATGGAGCATAAAATTCAATATGAATGAATGATCTGGCAGATAGAACCTTATAATTCCTAGTGGAAAATGACTTTTCAGAATGAGAAGGTTCTATCAGCATTTACTGGTTTATTTACTCCAATTTGCAAATGTAAGAGAACTTTAATAATTTACATTTAGAGAACCCTTATGGTCTCTGTCATGTTAATGTATGAAAGAGATCTGTTACACACATGATGTTTGCTATATGAAATGCAAAAACTTTGAAGCTCAATATCACAAAATCATTTAGAACGCAGATACAACCTTGTAATTCTCAGGTGACGATATATATATATATATATA